AGCATATTTGTTGAAATTGTTTGTGATACATAAATTAAGGCCATTTATATCTTAGAATGGCTAAAAACAACTTTAGATAAGCCAAAGCATTTCATAGTGGATAAGATAAAGTTAAATCATTTGCAAGTATATATCATCATAATCCTTTTAGAAGGCACTATTTGGATCTAGTGATATTCTTATTTATTTGTAAATTATAAACAAGAAATCTCGAGTTTAATTTCATAAATAACAAATTTGATACCTAATTATATCTGATCTAATGTATATAGTTTACCTATATATATTGTACATGAGGCAGATTTGCTAATCTGGGAGGCCGCACCTTCAAGTCAACCAACTTTTACAAGACGGTTACGAGTTTTTGCATTCTGATTGTCTTATTCATAGTTGACTTTCAAATCAAGCAAAAGGTTTTTAATGGTTGGCTATAAGGACACAACACAGCTATAACATATATCACAAAAATGGTGTCCATATTATATATATATATATACAAGGATTAGGATCAAGGGATAAACTTTTTGACAATTTCTTTTACTTATTTCTAGCCTTTAGAACTTGTAATGTCACCCTTAATTAGAACTCTTGGATGTTACAAGTTCTAAAGTTAACCCCTAATTTTAGTACAAATATTTGTTTATCTCGTGAAGATTCAAGAGATCGATAACTTAATTTGTTTTTATGTGCGTTAAATTACGTATCAATCGAATCAGAGCAACAAAATAGTGAATTGTGTGACAAGCAATGTATTTATGACTCTCTCTCACGTTCTTGAGGAGTCTCCCATCCTCGAATTTCACGTTAAATTAGTTTTTTTTTTCTTCTAGTTTAAATTTATTTTGTGACGTGTTTCTTATTAATTTAGATTATTATTTTATTATGAATTATAATCCACATCATTTGCCCGTTCATCCTAACCCTATATGGAATTGCCGGCCCCAGCTCTGAATCATCATTTAACATTTATGCATCTCTGTTCATACATGTACTGTTCCATTTAAAGCTTCTTCAATAGCAGCCAGCTAACTCAGCGCTGAGAGTTAGGTTGCTTCTGCAGAGAGCAAGAGTGAGTAAACAGTGGACATGGTGGGTTAAAAATTGCTCTGTAAATTGACCATCGCAATCTCTCTACTCATTCCCCTATCTTGTTTTCAATATAGGTATGGATTCATTCTTTTTTATATGACAATGTGACATTATTTTACTAGTATGAATGTCATAATTTGAACTGTTGGTTCTCTTTATTGTCATATAAAGATCTGGAAAAATACCTTTATTTTAAAGACTATTTAGTCATTCATATGAATAAGTAAGCTGACAATTAATCATGATGATTACTTGTTGTGACAAACGTTGATTTGTTCGACAAATATGAATGGCTAAATGGTTTATAAATAATATAAATGGCCCACCCCTTCCTTAGTGTAGATAATATCGTTTGTTAAAAAAAAAATAAAAAACTTTATTGTCCATAATTATATTTTGTGATAGAAGGCAAAAATATCTTTTCATCATCTGTTAGTTGACAAAGAGAGTTTCATTAATTTGTAGTTTAGATAAACACTCCATACAGCCAGAGGGTAGTGCTATGACACACCCTTGTCAATTTTCATGCATTGATCTTCTTTAAATCATTCGATTCGATAACGACAAATTAAAAATGGTGTGTGAGATATAATGGGCATGTGGATAGCACCACCACAGCCAAAAATATGGAACTTCCAAACCAAATGGTTGGCCTGATGTGAATGTATGGGCTGAATAACTTTGTGACAAGTGCATGGGCTCTTAAGCCTCTGAGGCCCAATCATGGTAAAAAGGTGTTTCTATTGTGCACTTCTTTGATGGAGCTGAAGATCAAGTGATTATTGCTTTCGGTTTTTTGTAGGATGGCGAAGCGAAAAAATTTTGACTAATTTTATAGGCCTTTCTCAGCTGAACAACACATTCAATCAGCGTAATATGGAGCCTTTTTTATATATACAAAATGATGAGATAGTTTTGCTAAACTCGTTCAAATTACGGAGAGGGAAGATTCGTACTTGGATGCAAAAGGTGGAACACACTGTTGTAGCCAACATAGTTAAATATATGTTTGAATTAGGGAAACGCTTTTCACACACTTTATTTTATCTGTCTCTTGATTTTCTTTGAATTATTCAAACTAATAGCAAAAAATAAACAAGAATGTGTAGAGGAAGAGTAAAAGAGTATTGAAATCACTTCCCCAAAATTATGCCGAGCAAACAAAAAATGGTTAATAATGATAGTAATTCTTAAACTTATATCCGTGTTTCACTTTGATAATTCAATTTACTTTTGTTTAGGCAAGTTTTATATGCGTATTTGAGACCAAGAAGTTGAGTCTTAAACCTTGAAAAACGAAATTAAACCTTCAATCCAATTAATCTTGGTGAACCACCAAGTTGGTATTTGATATTTTTCGTGCCAACCAAAATTGTCTTTGTCATGCATGACTAGTCTTTATGGATGGTTCGCTTAAGACACTCAAGTCCCCTTCTTGGAAAAGCTTACTGGAGTAAGTATCTCCCCTTAGTTTTCTTTTCACTCTTTTTCATTGTTAATTAATTAATAATAGACGTCTACGCTCTTAACCACTCGAACTATAAGCGTTTTTAGATTTTATGCGCAACTCATACATAAAATGTGAGTTGACACAAGCACTATGTCAACAAAGAAAGAAAAAAAAGTGATTTCGACACTCAATGTTTCTCTTCTTACACATCCTTGTTTATTTACAACATTTGAATTGAATAGTTTAAAAAAAAGTCAAGTGACAAAAATAAACATGAGTACAACCAGATCAAACAAAAGTGTGCAAATATTATTTTCCAAAAAATCATATTGAAAGATATATATAGATTTGTGTTTTACACCTCCGAAGAAAATTAAAACTTAACCATAAAATCAATTGAAAATATCAAAACGGCATGAGGCTTAGGCTAGGACTAATAATAACGAAAGAAAAAAAAGCACCAGACAAATGAAAACGATGCCGACTTTGGGATCATGTTTGATAGCAATAATGACCAATACAAATGATTCAAAGTGGGTTATTTAAGTGTACTCGCGTCATCCCTCATATATAATGAACTTGAAATATTGTCTTCCGAAAGCGAAACTAAAGAAAACGAAGGGAGACCTTCAGGCCACCAAGAAAACAAAACAAATAGATATCCCTTAATTAATTAAATCATTCTTATGTATGCACACTCAATCTTCAAGCATGAGTCTTGCTTACCTAAGATTTTCATTTTGAGGTTCCGTAAGCTTTTGAAACTTCATTTTGCTATTTAAATTTAATTTGGCTAACCAGTTAGTTGCAAGATGATGCTCTCTATGAACATACTACACATTATAATTTCAGTTCTCTATGATCAAACTTTTGCACCCTGAGACAAGATCATAGAGAGAATGATTATTAAGGTTAGGCGAACCATGAAAAAGAGAGACCACCAAAGTAGAATCAACCTTCATAATAAGATGAGAGAAATTTTTAGCTTAAGCTATCTTCAACCCATAAAACAAAACCCAAAGCTCAACATGGAGAACTTTCCCAACTCTTTTTTTAACAATAAAATCAGTGATCTAGTAACCGTGCTAATCTCTAATTAATCATTCACTTCCAATCGGCCCGTTAAAACCAGTGTTGTAAAAAAGGGCCTAGGCGCTAGGCGGTGGCGACCTGAGGTGTTTTCTTGCAAATCGGTTGGAAAAATCGGCTAGGCTCTAGACGGCCTTAGGCGGCGCCTAGGCAAGCTAGGCGGTGCTAGGCGGCTAGGCGGATTTTTTATTTTTTTTTGTATGTAAATCCTATCTACATTACTATATTCCCTTATTTTCCTCCTATTTTGTATTTTATGTGGTTTTAAATTGTGAACTTATTGTACATGTGTCATCCTACAATACTCCTCACTATGGTTATATGACATATATGCTTAATGTGTTTTTAAATTTTGGACTTGTTGGATACTCTTTTTGCATTTTATCATTTTTTTATTATCTTATCCATAGATTTCATACAAGTATAATTTTTTTTTAAGTATCAATATGCACTTATTTAGAAATTTACCTAAATCCGCTTAGGCGCTAGCTCGCCGTCCGACTAGCACCTAACTTTTGTTAGAACATTGGTTAGAACCAAGCCTCCAAAATAATGCATATATCGTATACTTATTTACAATAAAAAAGATTTAATTAACTTAAGAATGGAGCCGATTGGCAAGGGATTTGGTAAACTTTCAGAAAATGATTATGAAAACAAATTCTTATGTCCTAAGCAGATAAAATCTTGAGTCTACCATTGTTGCAAAATGAAGATTGAGTGTTACTGTACCAAATGCTCTGATATCGAGGGCTTTGAAGCAGAAGCTAGAAAATAAGGAATTAATTTTTGAAGGGTAATGCTAGAGAGACTAAATTTGAGGATAAAGTTTTGAAAACTAAAGGACATGAAAGTTGATTGGTTTATTACTTAAATGCCGATAAATGTGCTTATTTTTATTGGTGACATATCATTTAGTTTGCATATTTAATCTCTCTAGCATTACTCATTTTTGAATAAAAGAAAACCATATATTTTAATCACTCATGAATCATGAACGTATTGTTGGCGTAAGTCAGTTTAGAATATATCACCAATATTGTTCTAACTTAATCAATTAATATTGAATGTTGGAATTTATTGCCAAAGCTTCAATAATATTAGAAGTGAAATCTCACATATAAGTTGTACATTATTTGTTATATTTTCAATATGAGACTCTATTCATCAACATATATGTCATGGCTCATGAGGTTGGACCCCAAACAAATATTAAAACCATGAGGTATTTCTTGACTGTTGAACATTAGTTTTGACCACCAGTCCTTTTCTCTCGTTTGAATTTACTTGGAAAAAACTTTCTGCATGATCAGTTCATACAATTGCTGAATGATCTGTCCTAAGATGAAGACATTGTCATAGTTTAAGTATAACAAGTTAAACCCAAACCAAACGCTCACTAGAAAATGATTTCTCTACACTCATACTCAATCATTTTACTTCAAATCACCAAATTTGGTCAACAAATAGAGTACTTTAAACTGATCAACTAACCTGACCTACACTTCAAGTTTCTAAAGCATATCCTATTTTCTTAATTTCCCCCAGATAAACAAAACCCAGAACCCACAAATCATTACCAACCCAGACAAAAGATGCCCATTTTTAATCAAGCAATGATTTTGAAAAAAAAATAAAGAAAAAAAGGATTAGTCAAAGTAATTATTGGTTAACAGAAAACAGACCTAGTGGATTACCCATCATTTACTCTCGAAAGTCAGAATCTCCAACTCAAATACAAGCAAGGAAGAATCTTGTTAACTTATCTTTCCACCATCATTTGAATTTCGAGTGCTCTTTTCCCATCGATCCTACCTATAAGCCCCCAAACTTTCGACGATTTCTATATATTCAAATTAAAATATTCATCGATCAATTTTTTTGTGTGTTTTATATAATTCATTTCTTTATCCAAATCCTTTCCATCGATCAATAAATTAGCCTATGCGTTCTCTTCCCTCTTCTGCAATCCCAGGATAACTAACACAACTGAAAAACCAAACCATGTTCCCATATTTCAGGTACAACTCTTCTTCTTCTTCATATGCCTCTGCTTCCTCTGTTTTTCCCGCCCTTCCTTTCCCGCCAGAATTTTACCGGAATCAGTAACTGTATTAACCGCCGCATCCGACGTCCACAACGCCACATGGCACGACTTCTCAAGGTTTCTAGACGCCGGGAAAGGAAGCCTAGTCAGTGGCATGTCCGAGCTTAAGAACTACTTCCACCGTTTTGGCTACTTACCCAATTCCAACTTCACTGATTTTTTTGACATAGAATTTGAGTCCGCCTTGACGCTATACCAGTCCAAGCTGAGCCTGCCCATCACAGGCAAGCTGGACACGGACACCATCTCGGCGATCATTTCACCGAGGTGTGGTGTCAGTGACACATCGCAACATACGGCCCTACATGCGACGCGTCACTTCGCCTACTTCTACGGCAAGCCGAGGTGGGCGCGCCCTTCCCCCGTATCGCTCACATACGCTTTCTCCCCCAATCACATGGTCAGTTATCTGAACCCATCAGATGTTCGTGACATTTTTCACCGCGCTTTTTCGCGGTGGTCGGCGGTGATCCCTGTGAACTTCACTGAGACCGACGACTACGCTTCCGCGGATATCAAAATAGGGTTTTACCGCGGCGACCACGGTGACGGGGAGCCGTTCGACGGGGTGTTGGGGGTGCTGGGGCATGCTTTTTCGCCCGAGAACGGGAGGTTCCACCTGGACGCGGCGGAATCGTGGGCCGTTGATTTCAAAACGGATAAGTCAAAGGTGGCGATTGATTTGGAATCGGTGGCGACTCATGAGATAGGGCATGTACTCGGGCTGGCTCACACCTCGGTCAAGGAGGCCGTTATGTACCCGAGCCTGAGTCCTCGGACCAAGAAGGTGGACCTCAAGATTGATGACGTGGAAGGTGTCCAAGCTTTGTATGGGTCAAACCCTAATTTCAAGTTTAGCTCATTGCAGAGTGAAAATTCTTACAATCATGCGGTTTCTTTGGAGTCAAGGTCTTCCTCTAAGTGGTCCATTTTTTTAACACTCACCACCACTTTGGTATTGCTCTTACGCCTTTATTTGGCCATCTGAGAATGATTGGTAGCCTCCAATTTCTTTTTTTAACCTTTTTTTTTTTTAATTTTTAAATTGGTTGAAAATTTTTATACTTGTATTCTTTGTAGTGAAATTGTAGGGACAAAATACTAATAGAAAGTTAAAAAGAATTCTTTCTATATCATCCTTATGTGTTTGGTTTGGGAATATGGTGACGTATGGATTTTATTTCGGCGGAAACGGTAAAACACACTTTTTACTTTTTTCTTTTTGTAAACTCTTATTTATTTATGACTGTTTAGGTTGAATGAATCAAAAGAAAATCAAGAGACATAATTAAAATGGGTATGTATAAGCAAAAAAGATTGGTATGGGAATCATTTCCTAAGCTTTTTATATGTAGGCTTTTTGTCTATAAAAGAAGGCAGAAGGGAAAACCCCAAAAGGATAATGACAATGAGAAGTCAAAGGTTGTGTCTAATTAAGCTGAGGGCTGATCAATCCTAGCTAGCGGGAATGTTTTGTGAGATGGAAATCCGATGCTACCAACCCAACTTCTGTGATGCATGCAATTTCCGGGCACTGCAAAGAATATGCTTGACCTATAAAAGGGGAGGAATTACAGGTATCACTTACATCGCAAGATAGGTAATTGTACCAGTCTCTCGCAGAGCAAGTCAGACGGAACATCTAACGTGCATGGGAGGATATATAAGCTTGGTCGATAAAATAAATAAATAAATAAAATCAATTCAGTTCACTCACATATAAAAAGATTAAAAAAAAAAAAAAAAAAAAAAAAAACAATGTCAAACTGGACTTTCACTTGTAAGTGAGAGATCTTAAGTCGATTCTCACCAAAGGAGAATTTGAACTGCATTATTGCTAGCCCATTATGAAGTTAAGCCCACTCCCTCCCATTAGTATAGATAATATCATTTGGTCAAAATAAAAAGTCTACCTAACACCCAATATGTACACTTAGGACGAAGACCCATTTTGATATTGCTTTTTTTCACCAAAATCTACTTCACTTTAAGGTTAAGTAGTAAAAAAATGTTTGCTAAAAATAAATATCTTACTTATTTTAAAAGCAATAGCCTCCAAACAATAACTTTTAAAAGCAACATGTAGGATACTTTTTAAAGCTGCTTTAATAAAAAGCGAAGTTAAGCCTTTAATAAATATTTTTAATTATTGTAATACGCTCATTATTTTTAAAAATAACATTATTTATCTTTCTAGACACATTTTATCTTTGGAAAACAAAGACATCACACCCTCCATATACCACTACAAACCCTAATCTTTTATGCACCACCTATTGCCAGTGCCACCACTAATGTTGCCACCGCCACCACAACTACAACCACCACCACAACTATACCTGCCACAATACCACCATAACCACAACTGCCACTACCATCGTTGCAGCCACTGCTGCTGCCACCACCACTATAAACACCACTACCACCACAGCCACAACTGCCACCATCATCACCGATATTGTCGCCTCCCCTATCACCATTGCTACCTCTGTAGCCCAACCACCACACCTCTTTATTGGCACCACCATGACCATCATCACAACCATTGCCTTCGTCACCATATCATTATCATCACCCATACTATCAAGTCTATTTTCTCATTATATACAATTGTATTCTTTTTTATTAAAATTTACCTAACGCTTTTACAGTGCTTTTCATACTCACAACACTTTTAAAAATACAGTTTATCAAATGGTCAACTACTTTATTTTGCAGCTGATTATTCTTAAAGCACAGTAGGAGTAGTTTTTTTTTTTTTAAAAAAAAGCATAACAATCCCAAACTAACCCAAAGGCAGAGATTTGTATGAATAGGGACATTCTAAAACAACAAAGTCACAAACTAAAAATCTAAATAATTTACTAAAAAAAATACTTATTTATTAATCCATAAGATTTTGCATACAACAACATATTACAATTTCCCTTGACTCGTTTTCATACTTAGAAAGCGTGCATGACAACTTCATATCAGTACCATCAAATATCTCTTTCTATAAACATAACCATGTTATCATTTATTCATTGATATCCGATCCGATTTCTCAATCGATTCTTTAGAAATTTCATGACCGAAATGCTTTTTCAACATTGGCAGTAGCAACTAGAATAGTTAATATTAATGTCAAAAGCAAGTAAACTAGCAACACACCTTACTAATGTCACAAACATGTACGTTTACAATAAAATAAAAATAAACAGAATAAAAACAAACTAAGGGGGCCAAAGTAGCTCTATCCTCGCGTACCCTGCTCTAAATATAGTTTAGAATAAGTTCAATGACTGATTTGGACCAAAAACTAGTAACGGTAGATTGATCACTTATCATATTCTAGAAAAAGAGGGTATATTACTATTGTTTGAATACACTCCCTTATGTGAGAATGTGAGGACAAAATCCCACATAGGTGAGGGACTAAACCATGCAAGGGTTTGTAAGAGGTTAGACTTCTCCTCGTATTGTCAATTAATTTTATGGTGGAACCTCAACTTTCTTCATTGTATTAAAGCAGGTTGCCCTTCATGTGCAGCCCAACAACCATACACGCTTCATGTCACCCACGTATTAGGCTGGAAAATTTGCCACATGTGAGGGGCCATGTGGGAATGTTGGTGAGTAATTGGCTATATACTTTGCCTATTAATGATCCTCAAGTGTTGTAAGGATCTTAGTAATTGGCTTGCCTATTAATGATCTTAGTAGCTGAGCTATATAATTTGCCTAGTGAAAGTCGGTGAGCATGTTAGGCAAGGTACGTTTCCAGGTATAATGGACAACATTATATGGGCAATGCCATGTCCAACATCAGGTTGGATATGTCTGAAAGGGTTGTCATATGGGTGATTAGGTATAAAGGTAGCATATGATACTAGACAAGTAACTTCCCCACAAAACATACCTAAGCATGAGTTAATTCAATTTGTCACATGTTTTAACTTGCATTAGTACACTCGTGTTCGAGAACAATAATGTCATCTAAACACTAATCTTAAATCAGGGACGACGCCAAACGACATTGTTCAATCCTAGGATTTTCTAAATTTTTCGACTTGGCTTAGGGAGCTTGGTTGTGTGGTTGTAGCATGAGCTGCATGCTCAAGTGCTGGCCTTTTAGGTCATGGCCTCATTTTGGACAAGTGTCAAACCTTGGAGCAGTTATCTTGATTTTTTAGCAGGAACTGTTGCTAAATCTTCAACAGTCAAGTTTTGTTCTTCCTTTGTTGCACTATTTCATGTTGATTATGTGGAAATAAAGTTAAAGAGTCTGAGAAAGAGTTAATAGAAGTTGTTAGAAGTTGGTGACAATGTTATATTGTTTCAAACCCTTGTGGGTTCCTTATCACTTAGTACTGCAGTGTAGTGGTACTTCTTTGCTAGTAAGTGAGAGGTTTTGGGTTTGTTTCTTGCAAAAAGCGATTTCAAACCAAATTATTATGGCTAGCCCATTATGAGATTTAACGCATTCCTCTATCCCTTAATGTAAATTATACCGAACTACAAAACTTGTCGGTGTCTGCAAATAAAGATTTTTATATTTGCTTTCTAAAGATCTTAAATCCTACGTGGTAATTTTTTTTTTTTAAATTTTTAACCAACGATATTACTTACACTAAGAGATTGGGGGTGGAGGAGTGGGTTAAGCCTTACAGCTCACACTGAGCTAGCCATAATAATGTGTTTCAAATTCGTCTTTTGCGAGAGTTGAACCTGAAAAAATTCTTACTTATAAGTGAATAGAAATATCACAAGACTGTAGTACTAAGTGGCTCATATGTGGTAATTTTACATATAAACAGAAACCGAAATTGAAAATAAACAGACTTTCTCTATTTCCCATTGATTTATCGTAAACCCAACCAAGACAAAAGAAACCGAGCCCAACAAATATTTGCCAAAAGCCCAGACCAATAGGCATCAAGAAGCACATCTATTCACTCTCACGGAGCTTGTGCTGCTAAAACCCTAAACCCTTTTGACATCATTTTTCAGATCAGATCTCATCTGCTTATTCACATCATCACCGCAAGCCCCTGCAATGGCTTCAGCCTGCAGGCAATTCGCCAACAGAGCTTCCCTATCGTCCATCCGATCCGCCGTCAGATCCAGCGTCCCAAAATCTTCCGCTTCACGCTTCCCTCTCCCCACCGCCTCCTCTCCCTCCTCCGCCCCTCTTCGACGTTTCTCGCTCTCCAGGTTTGCGTTTTATCTGGGTTTTCATTTTAATGCTTTTTAAATTCATAATTTGTGGTTTTTAACCATTGAGTTTGGATTGTTGCTGCGCGTTTTATTTGGGGCAGGCCTCCGGGTGCGTTGGGATGCGTTCAGTCACTACTTCCACTCCACAGCGCGGTGGCGGCGGCGAGGTTGACGTCGTCGCTGAGCACTACATCGAGGAGCTGCCGAGCGCTCTCACAGGGTACTCTCTGCTGCACCTCTCCCGGCCTCTAATAAAAATTTTGCTTTCTTTTCTGTGAGTCACTTTTGCTTTTATCACATTTGTAATAATTGTATTTATTTCCATTCCATGTCTTTGTTTTCGTGTTTGCTCACTTGGGTTCTCCTCAAAACTTGAGCTTTGCATTGTTGTTTCTGTTGAGTGTTGCATCTGAACAGGCTTGATTGATTAGTAATTCCCCTTTTGTAATGCATTTTTGTGTCCAGTGGAACCCGAATAGGAAATTTAACTTATAGAATGCCCCTTGGACATTTTCGGAGATAATTACGGTCTAGATAGGAGTTACACAATTTTGGGTAACCCAAAATTGTTGCGTCGTTGAAATGAGCACTCTCTGTGTAAGATTGGCACATCAGGTTTCCTTTAGAGGTTCCTGGATGTTCAATGAGGCCGTAGTTTTGATAATAAGAAAATTTAAGGAATGAAAACGAGGGTGGATGTGCTTTTGATAGGGATGTTATCTGACTGGAATATTTGGTTCCTGCAGGCACATAATGTCCATTATGCTTGAACCTGCTAGTTAAGGCTTGCTGCGTCATTACCAAGTACGAAACTATGAATTTTCCTCAAAAACCTTAAAAATGCTTAACTATGTTAGTTTGGAGGCTTGTATTTCAGTCTTTCGTTTGATTTGGTCAGTTTTTATGATTGTACCGGCACTTACCACATTTTGTTTTCTGTGTCCACAATCTGTTTTGCTGGTTTAGTTTGATAATCTGTAGATTAGGAATGTCCAACGATTCATATGGGTTACTATTATGATGAAATGTTTTCCACTGGGCTGTAGTACACTTAATTGATCATATTTTGGCCATATTACGACAATATATTTTGAGTTTGAAAGTGAGCGTATTGGGTTAATGTCTTGAAAACCGTAGCTAATGCAAGTGTAATGGTAATATGGCAAGAAGATATGATTGTATGGAGATAACAAAAGAAAACTTAAAAGTACAAACACTTTGGCTTAAGTTTGTTGAACTTATATTCGTATACCATGTCTAAAATAATAAAATGCTTTGATAACATAGCTGCTCCTTGTCCCAGATGGAATTGATGGTACGTGAGACATGTATGCTGTATATGGAGGTGGGCCCTGCCATTTATTCTCATTGTGTCTGACTTAAAACATTGACGAAAACTAGATATACGTACATGTTGATCGGTGATTATTGGACAATGTTCCTACCCATATGTATTATGAGAGCAAGTTTTAGTGGATGTTGCATATTTGAGTTTACTTTTTTTGTAGTTTATTTTTGTTGTAGAACATCTCTGTAACGTCCCCATGATCGCATTTCTTTAACGTTGTTGTGGAGTCGTTCTGATTGGGTTCCTTAGTTAAAGAAACTGGGAGTGCAACAGTCTCTGCATTATTATCCTCTTATAGAGGGTTTCGTTTTGTTTCCTAATTTAAGCCTTTGTATTGTTTGATGATCCAGAGCTTGGTCTGTCAGGTCCGAGGTGATTCGTAGCAGGCTGTCACAGTTACAAGAAGTTACCCTTCACAAGAATGGAAAAGCAAACAGTTTGTAGTTTTATTTATTCAAAACCCTTCTTGAAGCTAAAATTGATTTTTCCTAAAGATAGGATGCCAGCACTTGTTACATAATAATTCAGTTTGCTTGTTCACTATGTATTTATGAATCTTTGATTTCGAATGTTAATCCGTGTTCCTTGCCTTCCTTCTTAAGTCTAGTTTACCATGCTTGATGCCCATCCCTTTGATATTTGGTCAAAATTTATGCAATCTAAGGTTGCATTTTGTGATTTTCGGTGGATTTTTTTTCGATTGTAAGTTTTGAATTCACCGCGGTAAGAATCTCAGGGGATTTTAGACCTATCCTACTGAACAGACACACACCCTGCCGAGAATGCATCCAAGAGCGGTTTGTACTTTGAATAAGCTATTTGAAGGTTGCTGTTAAAGGAAATTTTTAGCTTATTGCATTCTTAACATTCACTGTCTTGCTAAATTGTTCGACGTTATCTCCTTCAGTCATGTTTTTAGAGAGACAAATTTCACAGGGAAGCTTTGACCTCTCTTGGTCACTCGCAATATTTCCTGAGTTTGTGAGCATGATCACTCGAAATATTTCTTCAGTTTCGGACCTAATAATTTCTCCTTATGTTGACCAATTTTTGGAGTTGTGATTTGATCATTTTGGTTGGGAGTGTAGGCGGAGTTTTGTGTTCAAATTTAATTTTTTTTCTTAAGCAAAAACAAAATGGAAGGGTCAATCCTCCTAGTGGAGCAAAAACCTGACAGAAAAATATAGCTATGAAGCTGCAGGTCACAGCAAGAGACATCGCATTGCTTAACAAACAAACAAATGCAACACGAAAAATTGCTGTAATTTAGGAAACCCCCAAGGAAAAAAGAAACAGATACATGAAGGGATAACACGATCGATAATTCGAATTCACAATATGATATAAGCATTTGTAATGTGTGACAAGAAAACGTTACTCCTTACATGTTCATTCTATGGAGGGAGAATGCTTTGTCGTTTTGAGGGGATTAGACATGAAAAAAAACTTGTCCATTTCAATCCTTCTGATTTTTTTTTTCTTGAGTAATGTATCTCCTACTTCCAAGTTCGTCACAACCTTTTTATTTCTTCTTTCAGTATACTTTGAAATAGTGACTTATCCAGTCCAATTCAATCCTCTATACCAAATGAGATCTATGTACATATTCCTTTTTGAAAAAAATTGAACTCGTACCATAAAAACCAATCGACAATATGAGAGTTGCCCAATTACTTATTACTTTTGTCTCGATATGGGATTAATATTCAACACTTTTATGTAGTGAAAAGCATGTCCTTGAAATAATGAGGATCCTCTTCGGATTTTTTTTGTGAGGATTTCGGGGATCTTTCAATCACGTTTGTTTGTCGTACATCGTGCAATTAGTTTGCATCAGATACTGTTTATATTCAATTTTAAATAAAAAAAATTACAATGATTTTCGATCATACATCGTTCGTACAAGCCCCATGATGACAAACCTTTGCAACACATAACCCAAGTTGACAAAATCATACCATCGGTGTATACAGATTTGAAGTAGGATTCTATTCCCTCCTTACCTATTTCATCCCTCCGTACTTTCATCTTTCTTTTTCTTTTTGTTTTTCTAAAGAAAAACATCACAGGATGTTAACGTAACTTAATCGTAACCGTTCAAATAAGAGAAGATAGAAGGGAAGAAAGATTAGAAAGGGAGAGAAATCCTACTCTTACAGACTTTTGCACGACTCATACTTCGTCGGACAGAGGTTGTTTGAACGAAATGATTCATCGCCAAAGCAGTTAGGTATTTTTTTTAATTTTTTAATTTTTAATCTATTATTATTATTATTATTATTTATACTAAATAATACAATATGAAGTCTTAAATATCTGCGACTTTTATTAGGTCTAATGGTATCTGCTCTACTTCAAAGTTGACAGTCTTAAGTTGAACACAAAAAAAAGTAACGAATTCAATGCTTAATTAAGTGATTGGTTTATTGTCTGACTTTACTCAAATCCTCAGACTCCAAATACCATTGTGTTAAAGAAAGTGCACTACCAACATCTACACAGAGAAAATACAATCATCCTTTTGATTAAAGGGGCTTTTAGATCTAGGTCTAAAAACATAGATGGTTTTTATGAGTGAGTCTAATTATCTAATTACATGTTTTTATTTCTTTTATACTCATTTTATATTTTTTTAAATATTAAAAATCAATTAAAATCTTCTAATATTATGCATTTTTCAACTCCAAAAAATCTAATTAATATCTTACAAAAAAAAAAAAAAAAAAAACTAACATACTAACATAAATTATCTACAAAACACTGTACCTTAACTCAACTAACAAATATATGAATATATATATATACCTGTAAGCGAGATATGAAACCTAACTAAAAGGTAGGAAAAAACATAATATACCTTGTAAGATCCCACATCGCCCAGGGGAGTGATCCTTAAATGTATATTCCCATCCCTACCTAGCACGAGGCATTTTGGGAGCTCACTGGCTTCGGGTTCCGTAGGAACTCCGAAGTTAAGCGAGTAGCGCGTGAAAGCATTCCCAGGATGGGTGAACCATCGGGAAGTTCTCGTTTGAGTTCCCAGAAACAAAACCGTGAGGGCGTGGTCGGGGCCCAAAGCGGACAATATCGTGCTATGGTAGTGGAGCGGGCCCGGGAAGTGGTCCCCCCCGGGCCGAGATGTGACAATTTGGTATCAGAGCCTAACCCTGACCGTGGTGTGTCGACGAGGACGTCGGGCCCCTAAGGGGGGTGGATTGTAAGATCCCACATCGCCCAGGGGAGTGATCCTTAAATGTATATTTCCATCCCTACCTAGCACGAGGCCTTTTGGGAGCTCACTGGCTTTGGATTCCGTAGGAACTCCGAAGTTAAGCGAGAAGGGGGCTTGAGCAATCCCATGATGGGTGACCCACTGGGAAGTTGCTTGTGAGTTCCCAAAAACAAAACCGTGAGAGAATGGTAAGCCTAAAGCGGACAATATCGTGCTACGGTAGTGGAGTTGGGCCCGGGAAGTGGTTTGCCCCGGGCCGGGATGTGACATACCTACAAGCAAGACACATGAATTTGTGACACGTTGATTATAAAAAAGAATATATCATATAGATACATAAAAATAATTAACCTGTGATATAGGTTGATTATAAAAATTAAAAATAAAATCTATAAATGGGGTTTAAAGCAGGAGGAAGAACAAGAAATTAAAAAAAAAGAAAAAGAAATAATCAAAGAGATAATTAGGAAGAAATTTAATTTTTATAATAAATCTTATCATTGAATAAATAATTATTGATAATAAAATAATTAAATTTAAGGAATTGGATATATTTTAATAAATTGGACTATTCCTACTATTAGCTAAAAAAATTGGACTTATATCAAGTTTTCCCTTGATTGATTAAATTCAATCATCCTCTTGTACTAATTGTTCAATACACATAGGAAACGAGAACATTTTGGACCTAGAGCGTTATTTGGACTAAACAGCCCTTCATTAGCCTTCAAGAATAAATAATACGAAAAAACAGTTGAAGTAGGTAATTCTATTGGCAATTCATTAGTACATCACTTCTTTTGAAATAAAATACAAAATTTACTAGTACTACATTTTTTTTTTTTTTTGTAAAGTAAAAGGTTTTAAGTTATATTATCGTAAATAATGAATTCAATACAATATTACTATGGAGACTGCCATATTGTGTGGTTTAACTTATCTCACCAGATACCAAAATAATGATTTTTTTTTAACAAGCATCACTATCTACTTAAGGGCTGGGTGAATAGGCTAAACCTCACAATGAGCTAACAATAATGTGGTTCAAATTCACATTTCAAAGCAGTAAAACTTATACTTCCACATTTTACACCACATTTTACACCACTGAGCGTGACATTTGTTACACCACATTTTACTAATAGAAGTATGATCTACTTATATTGATTCACCTTCATTAGAGAAGTAGTACAATCTAGTCTACCAAAATGCGTTCTCCCAATATTCTCGTAGAGTGTAGATTACGGTGTCAAATCAAGAACTATTCTATTTTTAAAGGAATGAATCTGCACATCATCAAACCAATTATTTATTTTTTTTAATTATTTATTATTATTTTTTGCAGTAGTTAACCAAGAAGGTAATTATTACCCTATAGTTTTGGTTTTTAATGGGAAACCAAGAAATTTTATATTTATTTTAATATTTGAATATGTTATTAGCACTTCAAATTAAATAGTCTTTAAGCATTTTTTTGCTATTTTGTAATATGTTAATAATTGTTTTTATTTTTATTTTTATGTCAATTACAAATTGTGACAGCTCGTCCCGAATGTGTATATTATTTTATCCTTAATAGCATGAAATGACTTTTATACCCTTGGACGTTAGATGGTGTTGTGTGACATGCATTTTGGTTGTGGTCCAATTCATGTTTTCCTTAGTTTTTGGAACAAATTAGAACTTAGGTTTTATTTTATTTTCTTTTGTTTTGGTTGACTACCATCTGGACCACACACACACATCCATACCACTCTCCTGTTGACTATCTCCTCCCTCTCGGATTTCTTTCCATTTCCGTACAATTGTATGGACAACTTCTCAAGCCACTTGATCATTCATGGATCGAGGTTGTGGTTAGTGTTTTTGGATTCCTTGCAAGCTCAGGAGTCGATCTATACTCGTAGTTGGATGTGAAGACTTCAATTACTCAAGAACTAGAAAACCACGATGAGGTGCACTGTTCATCCATCATGATCAAGGAGGTTTTGTTGAGTTTGGAGGTGTTAGAGAGCCTTAGAACTTCTTCACGAAGCTTAGGGAAGAGTTTTGGAAGGTTTTGGACGTTAGGAAGCTGGGGTTTGACAAGTTGCAGATGTGGTTGGATTATCGTGATTTTTCCAGCGAGATCCGTGAGTTTTAGGACCTAAAAGTGGTAAGGATGTGTTCCATTCATCCTTAGCTTCATTTTGGTTTAAGTATCATGGATTTTGGTGCTAAAATGAAGAAGATATGATGATTAGAAGTTTTTCCAGTTTTCGGGGATGCAAACGGCGGCTGGCAACGACTTAGGCGAGGATCACCGGAGAAGACGAAGAATATTCCGTCAACTTTGACGGAATATATTAACGGCGTTACTAAAGACGTCAGGTACATTTAACAGTATATTCCATTTTTGGACGAAATATTCCCTAACGCCGTTAGGGTTTTCGTACGTGTGCCAGGCACGTGCCTACACGTGGCCGACACATGTGGCCGTGCCTTGGCTGGCGCGTAAGGGCACGTGGGTGATCAGAATTTTTTTCTAAAAATATGGGGATATTAGTGGGGTTGAGTAGATCACATTGGTATATTCAAACATCCCAATTAAGCAACGTGTGAGAAGTTATTACCTAGTTTTGTTTATGTGCTTTAAAATAACGTTTATATGGTTGTTTTGCATATAGGTGAGACCTATCCAGAGGACGACCCTTCTACATATCAGTGAGTGGGCTTTTGGTTTTCGGTATATATATATATATATATATTATATATATATATATATGCTTGGTATTTTTCCCAGAAAATTAATTTAAATGATTCATATGTTTTGAAATGCCATGCCAAATGTCTTATACTTAGAATATGTATTTAGTAGTTGCACATATTGTCATTGACACTACGGATGCTCAGGTAAGTACCAGGTGAGTTTATTGATTGTCGATGTGAGTTGCATGATTATGTTGAGATGTATTTTGAGCTCATAACCTGCACCCCAGTGTTAGTGCTCCCGTCCGTGATTAGAGCACAGTCATTCACGTGATGTTCACCTCCCGCACCATACGTTCACCTTGGATCCAAGTTAGGTGTATAGTCCTGTCGTACAGACCACTATAAGTGGTTTCGACTCGTAGGTAACCCGCGACTATTCGCACAATCTTCACGTGGTCGTAGCACTTGAGCGTATTTATTTACACCTAGTCCTGTCTTACAGACCACTTTAGGTGGTTCCGACTCGTGTGCAGGTATACTTGTTGAGACATGGATTTGAGTCATACAGGTTACGTTAGGTGAATCCGGATTTTGCATTGATTTATATCACCTGGCTTACATATTTTTTATGCTGAGATATTTGACATGGCATATATGAGGATTTTACTATTCTGATCATGGTTGTGATATAGATATGTATTCTAATTTCTGGGAAATTATACAGGTTTTACGCAAGGGGTTACTAGCTTTGATGTTGAAATGGTTTTGAAAAGCTTTGTTTTTGCCCACTCACACTTTTTGTTTTGCACCCTTCCAGGTTCCAGTTAGAAGTGCTTATTGGTGGCTTGCGAGGAATCCATGGTAGTTCTGATAGATTATCACCATTGTATGATCACATTTGGTGTTGTATAATTAGTATTCGTCCTGCTGGACTGCACTTAGGCTACTTATACTCTGGTTGTGAACTCACACTTAATTCCATCTTGCACTTATTCTTATCTAGTACTCTAGTTGGTTTGGTTTTTGTTTATTCGCATTTCTTATATTATTATTGCTTCCGCACTGTGCACATGGCTACGCCACCCTCACGTGACGGCCAGCATGCCTTGATTTCGGTCGGGGTGTGTCATAAATGATGTATTACTACTCTAAACTAAATTCAAAGAAGAGGGGAGGAATTAAATTAAAATGCGGTGAGTTAAAGAAAAAGATCTTATATACCAAACCAATCAATTATCATGTAATTATCTAAACTACATATTAATGAAATCCTCTTTGTCAACTAAAAAATGGTGAAACGATATGTTTGTCTTTTATCAAAAAATAAAATTATGGACAATAAAGTAATTTTACACAAACTAGGGGTGTATTCAATTGGAATTTTGAGATATTTTAATTCTTTTAATGTATCTATGAGAATTCAATTAGGATTTTAAATGTTTCTATGAAATTCAAAGTGTATCCAATTGAGATTTCAAGATAGTATGTTAAAATCTTTAGAAATCCGAGTGTATTTAATTAGGATTTTAAAGAAGTTTATAATATTCTAAATGTATTCAATTATAAATTAATTTTAAAGAATTTTTAAAAATTGAGGAATTCGTGGGAATTGAAGAGATTTTGTAGTGTACTTTAAGTATTCACAAATGTCACCTTACCCCATAAGATTTCGAGGGAATTGAATCAAAGTTTTATATGGAAATTTTACAAATCAATTAAACTCCATAAAAATCCATGGATTTATAAATCTATTAAAATATCTCAAATAAGCAAGTGGCCCTTTACCACAGTGATGGAAAGAAGTTAAGCCCTTGCATGACGGTGTAGGTTTAAACCTTGTCGATGACTAATCTAATACCTAATTTAACGTCTGATCATGAATTTGGCCCCTTTAACGTTCGATCATGTGCCTATCTGTTTGGAAATCTGACACAGCCCAGAGGTACCACATTTTAAACACAGATATTTCAGGTTTGAGGAAGCTTGGTTGCATCGTGATGAATGTGAGCAAGTGATAGCTGAGGGGTGGGCTGCTTCGGTTCAGGGGGTACTATTGTTTCGGGTTTGTGGAAAAATTAAGACTGTCAAACTTGAACTACTTAAGTGGAAATGGTCTTTCTCTCTAATCAAGGATGAAATCAATGTTGTTCATGATCAGTTGAGGGTCTTATATCAGCAACCACCAGACACTGAGGTTTGGAGCCTCAGCTCTGCGCTTTATGCAAAGCTAGGCCCAGGAAGAAGCACATTGGCGGCAAAGGGCTAAAGTACATTGGCTCCAAGATGGCGATCGTAATACACGTTACTTTCACCAGAAAACTACCAATCGTTGGAAAAAAAAAATTGCATTAAAGGTTTATTTAATGACCAGGGTGTTTGGCGCTCTTATCCCAACGAAATCCAACAGGTTGTAGTTAGTTATTTCTCGAGCATGTTTTCCACTAATGGGTGTCTTCCCTGCTCAGATATTCTAGATATAACTCAAAGTCGTGTAACTCCGGCGATGAATGATCTCTTACTGGCAGAGTATTCTGATTTCGAGATCAATGAGGCGTTATTTCAGATGGAGCCACACACTGCTCTAAGGCCGGATGGAATGCCCTCAATATTTTTTCAAAAGTTCTGGCCAATTGTTGGCAATGATGTAATCTGTGCAGTCAAGTCCTTTCTCTCATCTAGGCGTATTCTGAAGGAGCTCAATTATACTCACGTCTCTTTAATTTCAAAGTTAGCTAAAGTTCAGAACATTACGCAGCTTAGATTGATTGCGTTGTGTAATGTTCTATATAAAATGGGTGCCAAGGTGCTAGTGAACCACTTAAAGAGTATACTGGATCAAATTATTTCCAAGCAGCAGGGTGCCTTTTTTCCTGGTAGAATGATTTCCAATAACTTTGTTATTGCTTCCGAGGTTAGGCATTATTTTCACAATCTTTGTTGAGTCTGGAGTTGTTAGCTAGCTTTAAAGCTAGATATGAGTAAAGTATATGATCGAATGGAATGGGGATTCTTGTGTTCCATGTTGTTGAAGCCTGGATTTGCTGCAAGTTGGGTTGAAACTGTTAAAAATTGTGTATCCCCTATCTCATACTTTTTCCTGGTTAATGGTAAGATTACAGGTTACATGTCCCCTCACTTGTGGTCTCTGTTCGGGTGATCTGCTTTCCTCATATTTGTTTCTGATTCGTGCAGAGGGGTTCACGGCTGTTTAAAATTTTTGAGAGGCGTGGGCTTATTAATGGGGTCCCAATTTGTCGTGGGGCGCCCACTATAACTCACTTATTATTTGTGGATGACAGTTTCCTCCTTCTCCTCACATCTTTTTAAGAATGTTGGCATCTTAAGAATATTTTGAATATTTATGAGCATGCGTCTAGGCAACGTACCAATTTGCAAAAGAGTGCTGTGTCTTTTAGCCCCAATGTTTACCGAGCCATTCAAGATCAGCTTGTTGCCTATTTGGGGGTGCCTCGGGTGGATGTCCATGACAAGTATTTGGGGCTTCAGATTGTTATTGGTCATAGTCATTCTGCAAGATAAGCATACATTAAAGATAGGTTATGGAAAAAGCTTAAAGATAGGAAAGACAAGCTACTGAGTAGTACAGGGAAGGATATTTTTATTAAGGTGGTGGGTCAAACTCTCCCTATTTATACGATGAATTGCTTTCTCTTGCCTAAAACCTTTTGTGAAGATCTTTAACATATTCTCTGTCGATTTTGGTGGGGAGACCTTGATGATTCAAAGCGTATTCATTGGCTCTCATGGGGAAACATGTGCAAACCAAGGCCTGAGGGTGGTTTGAGATTTTGATCTCTGTATGATTTTAATTGCACCCTTTTGACTAAACAGGGCTGAAGATTGCTTCACAACCTGGATTCACTTGCCTCTTGGTTACTCAAAGCCAAATAATTTTCTCATAATTCCTTCTGGGATGCTGGTTTGGATTCCTGTCCATCTCCTTGATGGTGGGGGATTATAAAGGCTCGCATCATTCTAGAGCGAGGGTCTCGTTGGCAGGTGGGCGTTCTATTCGTATTTGGAAAGATAGGTGGTTGGACCACCTGCACTTGTTTCGGCCTTTATCATCACCTTCATCCAATGGTGAATTAGAATTAGTCTCTTCCATAATCTTACCATTACTGGCTTCCTGGAATGAGCAATTAATATTGAATATTTTCCCACCTGATGAAGCTTTGCTAATTCTTTCCATCCCGCTAAGTTTGAGATTTCCCCAGGATTGTTTGATCTAGCACTACGATACAAGGTTGGTTGTGGCTTGGTGGTTGAACCTTCTTCTTCTCACAGTGGGGCTTCAAACACTCAGTGGAATATTATCTGGAAAGCAAAGGTTCTTAATAAAGTAAAATTGTGTGTTTGGTGGGCTGCTTGGAACATTCTACCTACTCGTGCTGCTTGGTTAACAAAGGCATTATGGTGGATGACATTTGTGTGTTATGTAGTTCATCTTCGGAGTCGGCGCTACATGTGTTTACTGAAAGTTCATTTGCAAGAGCCGTTTGTTCTTCTGCCAACATTGAGCTTAGACCATGCTGCTCTTCTTTCTCTTGCTTCTTGGAGTGCCTTAGTTGCCGTGCTATTGTCCTCAAGCATGGTCAATTTGATCTTCTTCTTGTCCTTATCCATTTTATTTGGCATGCTAGGAATTCCCTTCTTTGGGATGATAAGCAGGAAAACCCCATTATGGTGAGTAGATTGGCGAGCCTTTTCCTATCAAATTTTGTGTCTGCACAACCCCAAATTGCTCATTGCCCTCTGCTTTCTCCTTCTTGGTGGTCTCTGCCACCGCTAAACTGGATTAAGATTAATGTCGATGCTTCTTTTTGTTCAAATTCGAAGTGTAGGGGTATCAGTGGCTTTTCGTGACGAAGCAGGTAACTATGCTGGAGGTTTCGTTTGCTAAATTCCTCATGCGATCGACCCCTATACTGTGGAGATTCTAGCAGCTCGTGCAGGCTTGCACCAGGCTGTACAACGACAATGAAGGCTAGTCATTCTGGAGAGCGATGCCTTACAAGTGGTTTAAGCACTGTATAGTCCCCATTGTGGTGTTTCTGCTACTGGTTTATTTATTGAGGATGTGAAAGCCAGCTTGCAGAGTTTTGCTTGCTACAGTGAAAGTAAATCATATATGTAGATCCGCCAATGTTTCAGCACATAGTATGGACTAAATTGGCCATAAGTTTTACTGTTCCTAGTCTTTGGTTTGAGGTGCTTCCGGTTACTATTCAGGATGCCTCCTACATGATTGTATGCTTCATTAATATTATGAATAAAACTGCTATAGTATCTTCTTCTTAAAAAAAAAAAAAAAAAACCCTAATCTATCAAAATCTTTTTGAAGATTTTTTATTTTTTATTTTTATTTTTATTTTTTTATCTCTAAGTCCCAATTGAATACACCCTCCAAATTTTACAGGTTTTTAAACAAATCACCTACATACAATCTTAATTAATTTTTGGACTTGGATGTGTGGCTGAGATGGCTTGGTGTGTACACCCACCAATTTTAATCAAGATGCTCTAATCGAGGATGTTTCTTAATTAGTTTCTATTGTTTGTAATCTTTGGAGGATGGTTATATTATTCATTATGCGGGCATTGAGACCCAGGGTGCACCCCATCCTCATATTGATGTACGTATTTTTCTTACCCTAATAAATATCGTACTTCTCTAAAAAAAAAAAAACAAAAATCACCTAAATATGATCCTAATAAATCTCTAATTTAAAAAAAAATAAAAATATCGATACCAAATTAGGTTACCTATTGCAGTGGCTTAGCCGAACTCCTCATCCCCTAGTATAAAAATATTGGTGTATTAAAAATAAAAAACAAAAACAAAAACTCATCCATCTTTTCCACATTCTCTCTTTCTCCCCCTCTCTCTTCTTCTCATTTTTTTGAACAAAAAACTATCGATTCTAGTTAAATTTTTCTCTCTTTCTCATTTAAAAAAAAAAAAAAAATGTCCGCACCCACAAATGTGTGGACATATGCTAGTTTCATTTATTAAAACCCCTTGCGTGCAAACAAAGAAAAAAGAGAGATTGGACATAGAGGTTGCAACCATCAAATTTAAAGGCCCAACTACTTTTTTCCCGTTTGATCATTATGATTCTATTAATTTGGGAAAGAGAATATCTCCAAATCTTTTTCACAAGATTATGGGATCAAGTGATCTAGATTTTTAAAATTTGATTCGACGGATAAACAGGAGTTCCTTTAAAAATTATAATAACTTTAACCATTTGATCAAATTTTAAAGATCCGGATCACTTGATCCGGTAATCTTGATGGAAAAAATCCGGAGATGATATTTTTCCATTAATTTGGTGGGTAGCAACTCAAATCCAATATGGTAGAAAAAACAAGAAGCAACAATCTAGGCACACAACCAAACTTTATCAAATTAATGAGAAAACAAACAAAGAGAGTTTCGAAAAGGGGAAGCAATTAACTTTTTATGTGCTAAAAAAAGGACAAGAGAGAGATCCGCTTTCACCCGAAAGGCCAGGAGAGAAGACTGGTTGGTGGAGAATAAAATTTATAAAACTGCCTCAACCCCCATGAACGTTAGCTGAACACGATTGATGAGAAAACGTAACCAAACAAAACTGCAAGGACGGAAAAACCAAACAGCAAACGAAACCAAAACAAAAACCCAAAGCATGGAAAACCAGGAGAGAAGATCATGACACAAGAAGAAGCAGTAGCAAGAAATACAATATTTGTTTTAGGGTTTTAATTTGAATTTTTTTCTGGTGAGGAGGAAAAATTGCACGGAAAGTATGGAGGAAATATTGTTCAGGATGAAGAGGGAGGTGATTGAAGATGTTGCGATAATAGGGGGGTTGGTAGGGGTGCAATTTGTGTATGCTGGGAATGCTGTGTTGCTAAGCTATGTCATGTCTTTGGGGCTTGACCCTCTCACCATTGTTATCTTCTCTACCTTGTCCACTTTCATCGTCCTCTCTCCCATTGCCGCTTATTTTGAAAGGTACGTACGTATGCATTTCTCTCTCATCAATTCAGAAGTAATTGTTTTTATTTAATTTCGAAATTTAAACAATTATAACAGACAGAATTCAATTGGGTTCCAGTAGATTTTGGTGTTTGATGATATATGAATTTGTGTTTGCAGGCACACATGGCCGAAGAAAATCAGCTTGAAGTTCTTGATACAGTTGCTTTTGATCGCCCTTGGAGGGTATGAATTTCTAAAATCTTTTGTTTCTAATTAGTTATTATAATTTGCATAATTCCCATGAATTTTTCTGGAAAATCTTTTTTTTTTTAACAAATAATATTATCTACTCTAAGAGGTGGGAAATGTGTTAAGCCTTATAATAGGCGAGCCATAATAATATGATTCAAATTCTCCTTTGTAGAAACATTTTTGAGATATGCACTTTTTATTTATTTTTTATTTTTTTATTCTGGGTTACCTTTTTTTTCCCTGATAATGTGGTAAGTGAAAGATCGCTCGTCCCAAATTTGGAAGATGCAATCAATTTAGTGTTCTTCAATTTCACCGAACTCAATGCATCTTTTTAAGGTTTTACTTATATTATATTTCATTTGAGTCATTCTTAAAAGTTGGGCTGGAAATTGCTATACATGTTTTTAATCGTATACAATACTTATCTTGACATAGTTATTGGTGAAGGAGCACATGCATTGTCATCCAAATTAAAAATCCTGCTAATTTACCACCAAATTTTTTTTTTGTGTGTTAATTTAGCACCTTTTTTATTTTTCGTTTGAAATTTTGTCAAAACTAATCATTTGTTATGCAAGTGATCATTTTTCATGCTTATTACTCTAAGACTCTTAGACAACTTCGGGTAAGAATTTCGTTAACTACAACTTGTTCTCGAGGAGAAGGAATATATGTCCCACGAGCTTTGTTTAATGAAGTTTATACACTTATTCGCCTATAGGTTTTAAGTGGCAAAAGTACCATTAAAAATATATTACATGTGCTGCAGATGACACATTTTAACTAAATTTTTAGCAAAAACTAATGGAGGTGGTAAATTCACACTAACATATGAGTTTGTGTGGTAAATTGACAAGATTTTTAGTTTGGGTGTATTTGCACACACCCATAATAGGTGAGGTGATGTTTATGCAAATTTCCCTTTGCAAACGCTGAAATTTAAGTGTTTAGAAAAACAGAAAGAATAGGAGAGTGGTTTTTGTTAAATTAAACTAAATGAAGCTCACACTATATGCGTGAGGATTTAAGGTGTTTGTGTGAGAGTGGGAGAAGTGTTTTCCTAAAACGTAGGATGAACATTTTAAATTTTAAAGGTGTGCAAACACGAATTCTAGATAGATTTTTCTAATTTTGTGCATGTACCTAAATCCGTATTATGAATTCTAATGATTGTACACAATAATTTTTTCCGCAAGAAATCAGAAAGTTGTAATCTCTCTTTGATTTGGGAATGAAATTCAGATGTTATGATGAACTACTTACATGGGTTTTCTGAATTTAGCTTAGTTTTGGTACTTAAAGCAACAACCAAACAAGTTTTTAATTTTTAGTTTTTAAAACGGATCCTTAATGATGATTGTTTTGGTTCTGAGTCAATATAAATTAACTTTTCAACTGAAATATAGATTCTTTAAATTTAAATTGTTTTTACACTTACTTGTCTTCTTCCTCCTCTAATTTAAAAAATAAACATAGAAAATTATGAAAGAAAAAGGGGTAGTAAAGTTATTTTCCTTGTTTCTTGTTTTGCAGGGTAACTTTGTTCCAGACATTATTTCTAAAGGGGATCCAGTTGACTTCACCAGCAATGGCAGCAGCCATGCCAAACCTTGCTCCTGGGTTTATTTTTGTCATCGCGTGTACTGTTAGGTATTTGATCTCATCTTTTTTCTTTCTTTTTTCCCAAGTAAAGAAGATGATGAAGAGAAAGAAGTGGCAAACTATTAGAATAGTTAACATAAGGTATGGGGATAATCATTTGGACATTTTAGTCTCGACTTTGTTGGAAGAGATCAAAATTCAAATCTCATGTACGGAAATTGTTGAATTAAACAAATACTAATATAGTAATATTTATAGGGGTTTTTTGAAATGGGTCCAAAGTAACTAAAAATTGGACCTATTTCAAAAGTCAAAAGTCACTAAAAATTGGACCTATTTCAAAAGGTAGTCTATAAAATTGGACCTATTTCAAATTTTCCCATATTTTTTTTATAATGGTTATGCAGATTGGAGAGAGTGAAAATTAGTTGCCTATACAGCAAAATGAAGATTCTAGGCACAATTCTGTGTGTGGTAGGAGCTATCACAATGAGCGTAATGCAAAGCACTGCCAGTCCTTCCGAAGCAGAAGCACAGCCCCAATTTCGAGCTCCTTCCCCTGAATCACTCTTTGATAAGCAAAAGATTATTGGTTGCTTTTATCTCCTTGCTGCTGTGTTTGTTTTGTCCAGTAATATTGTCTTGCAGGTGAACGTACAACTAGTATGAATATAATTGTTAACTTTAATTGTTATCTGACTGTGAATCTGAATTCGATGATACGTGAGATCCAGATTCACAGACGGACAACATAAGCATTTGCCAAGAACAGAAGATTATCATTGTTTAATATATTTTTCTTTTGTTTTTTATGGATTAGTATTTTTTATGATGTTTGACAGGCTACAACATTGGGTGATTTTCCTGCACCTATCTCCTTGTGCGCCATAACATCTTTGATAGGGGTGTTTCTAACTGCAGCTGTACAATTTATTCAAGATCACAAAATAGAAACTGGTTGGCCACTTGTGAGTGCAAAACAATTGATTGGCTTCTCTCTACTGGTAAGTACGCCTCTCTCTCTCTCTCTCTCTCTCTCTCGCGGTACTTTGGTATGTGTTGAACATATAATCAATCATAACCCTAATCACTTTCTTCACCCACCATCACTCGGGCTAGTCCGAAGGGCTTAGTATTTATGACCCCGGTCTTTAACCCCGCTCTTTTAACCAAATATACACAGGGAGGTGTAGTAAGCGGAGCATGTGTGAGCTTCAACGGATGGGCAATGAAGAAAAGAGGGCCGGTTTTGGTTTCCATGTTTAGCCCCATTGGAACAGTTTGCTCGGTTGTTCTCTCAGTTATCACATTGGGAGATGCCATTAGCGTTGGAAGGTACTTTAATTATCTAGTACTGAAGTAGTTTTTCTCTTTTTCTCTTTTTGAAATTTTTGTATTAATTTGTTGCTTTGGTCTCAATAATGCAGCTTCGCTGGTATGTGCCTCATGTTTACTGGGCTCTACTTCTTCCTATGGGCAAAGGGGAAGGAAGGCTACATCGATGTGCGTGACTTAGAAAGTGAGTTTGATGCAGAGAAGCCTCTGTTATGTTGATATCATTTGTTTGTGTATATATGGGTTTTGGCTTCAGTTTAGACAGATAGGGATAAACAAAATTTGAAGGAATCGTTCTACGGGCTACAGACTAATCGCCTGTAAGTAATGTGCATGATTTTCATGCATAGTACTAGTGTTAATGTGACAACACAACTTGATGGAACAAGCTATGTGCGACCGATAAATTCAGTAAAATTGTTATAAATTTGCTTAATAGTTAATGCTCAACATTGAACAGTAAGTTTTCCCTGCATTTTTAACTGTTTTTGCAGAATGCTGAAGGGCCTACAAATACGACTTGTGATATTTTACTTTATAGAGATGGTGCTTGGGAAGAGTACGGATTTGGGCAACTGAGAGTTTTAATTCTACGGCTTTCTTTTTCTTATATATTTGGGAAGGCTCATAAAATTTCTAACTACAAGTTGAACCCAAAAAGGACTCATTTGGCAGACATTCTTCTAGGAGGAGTTACTAATTAACACTTCGACCACACTGTTAAGTCATTTTTGAGTTATTGGGTCTAATATACTTAACCAAAAAACTACTTTGGGATGTTTAGATGTGGTAAAACATTATACACAAAACCAAGTCTAGGCTGCTATGGAGTGAGCAATATTGTATATGATGTTGTAAAACCATATATATTATAATTCATACTAACTACTACAATTCTTCTATAAAATATTTTTGATGTGCTTTCTTTGCCAAAGAACTTTCTAGAAAACGACCGTGCTGTGACCAACAATCATTGTGCAGAATTACCGTTAGTTACAATATGCAATGTTCAAAATACGATTACATGACTTGTTAATTATTATTAATTAGATGGATATGCAACATGATAAATATGACCGACAATGAATGTTAAATTGAGCATTGTAAGTAAAATTACACTCTAGCTGAAATATAATTCCAGTCAGAACTTTGCTTGGTGTTCTCCTAACCTAACCGGTTGAGGAAATGAGTGCTGAATTATTTGTCTTGATTGGGTTGGCTTCCATACCAAGTTTTGGTTCCAAGGCCTACTTGTCAGGTTTGTGTGATTCTTAAAACTAGGTATTTTGAAAAACAGCTCACCAAAAGAAGATACATGAACAAGAAGCAGAATCCAATTAGAACTCATCGGTTCTACAATTATGTTAGCATGTATGCGTGAGCGATTAATGCTAGTAGTCATCGTGATTTTAAACATTGTTAGATGTTGATCATCATAATGACCTCTGTTCGAAAATGAGACTGATTGTCACAAAGTGAATTGTCAAGGAAGGTGTCTACTTTTTCTATCTTCTGTTGGCCAACAAAGTGTCTATTTAAAGGAACGAAATCCAGTAACCATTTAAGAATGTGGTTTACTTTAGGTGTGGGAGGATAAGTGCTTTAACGTTGTAGCTCCTTGAGCTTTTACCTATTGTTATAGTAATTCCGTCTTCCGAGCTGGCTTATATGCGCAGTTATATACGATATTGCGGAAAGAAAACTGTTACAATGGCACACACTTCTACTAATTTAGGCAAAATTTTTGCAAAAATTCATTAATATATTACTGCCCATATTGTTAATGAACAGAAGCACGTAAATTGGTAGAGGCTCAACATTATTACTTGTTTCCAAAGCGACAAACTAACCTGTATGGATGGTGGGAATAAATTGAACTTAGGACTTTTGTTCTAGAGGTAAATGCTCTTAACTCTTGGTTACACCTGCTCACCCCTTTTGAAGCGCTAAAATTTGCATCAACTCATTTTGTATATTATTCCTAGTGTAATTATTATGAGTTTCCACATTCTGAATAAAATCAATCTCCCTCTCTCTCTCTCTCTCTCTCTCTCTCAATGTTAGCAAAAGAGTATGGGAAGAAAATTACATTAACTATCAATCCAACATCAAATGATCATTAGTTCTTCGCTTCTTTACAAATGACAAGTCCCAAATTATGTAATCAGAATCTGAACACTTGAATATTAATGCTCTAAAACTCCATTCTCTCTCCTAACCATGAAAAAGCATCCAAAAGGTTCACCATTTTTTCAAAAAGCAAACCCTCTGCAAATGCAGATTCCTGGAAAAATCTTACTAATCACTTTCATCAGTGTACAGCCCTTGCATGATCACCTCCAACTCTACCTGAAAGTTCACACATATGTCGTACTCAGACTCCAACTCACTCTTCAGCATCTGAACCTCTCCTGTTTGTCCCAACTGACCAATAATACTCTTCACATTCTCCATCTGCTCGTCCAATTTTCTTGCAATTTCCCGCAATTCCACCAGCCGTGCATTGCCGCGGTTGGAAGACTCGGCCGGAAAGCTGGAAGTAGAAGACGACGCAGCTGGAATAGCCAGGTCCAAAACAAACCTTTCCAAGTTATCCTGGAACTGCAAAATATCTTCCTTCTTGTTCTCCAACTCACCTTTCAGCCTCTGAATCTCTACTTGATCCTGTGTGCTCACCTCAACTACTTCCGTCAACAGACGAATAATCATCACCACAATCTGTATTTGCTTTGCCAACCTCTTTGCAAATATTGACAGCGGGGATTTGCCGCCGCCCGAAGACTCAGAGCTGGAAGTAGAAGACGACTCAGTGGAAAAAACCGGGTTGAAAACAAAATCGTCCTCATTGAAATTCCATCCGGTAAACCCCATATTCTCAGCCCTTAGTTCTCCACATTTTTCCTTGCCCAACAATTCACCCAAACCCCTGTTTCTTTTCTTGAACCTCTCCTCAACACTCTCCAAATGCGGAAGCACAGTCCCCACCAGAAAATCCTTGCCACTGTAGTTGTGGAAAAACGAGTGCTTCAGCAGCGTCTCCGCCGCCAGCCTCTTTTCGGGGTCCCGATCAAGGCAAGAAACCACCAAGTCCTTGAAATCCGCAGAGTACTTCTTGTTCTTGAAATCTTTGATGATGTTTTTGTAATCGGAAAACGGGAACCTGTTCTTGATCTTCAGAATCTGAGACTCTAAAAACGGCGGCAGGTCAGACACGGGTGGGCCGCCGAGAGCCAATTCCAGCGCCGTGATCCCAAATGCCCAGATATCCGCCTTGCATCCACCTCCGTTGGGTGCCACCCAATACGGCGTTGCAGAAGTGTCGTTTGTCCCAGTTGAATGATCGGCGCCGTAGAAAGAAGCAGAGACCCCGAAGTCGGCGAGCTTAACAGACCCATCAGAGTCAACCAAGATGTTTCCGGGTTTGATGTCGCCGTGGACGTGTTCCTGACCATGGAGATACGACATGGCGTTTAGCGTCTCTTCCAGGACAACAGCAAGGCAGGGCTCTGGTAATCCTTCCGGGAAAGCAGAGGAGGAGATTAGAGAGCCGAAGGCCATGAACGGCATAACCACCCAGAGACGGCGGTCGGCGGTGGTGAAGGAGCAATGGTCGCTGAGAATGTTGGGGTGGGAAAGAGACAGAGTCTTGGTATCGCGTAGCTTGCCCTCGAAATCGGCCGTGGATTGATTGAGGTCAACGGACTTGATTGCGACGATTGCAGAGTTCATGGGGACGCAGACGGCCTTGTAGACGACGACCTTGTCGCCAGAGCCGATTTCTTGGAGGTCTTTGTATGCGGCGGAGTCCAACGGGAATTGGACCTTTTGTGGGTTATCTTGGTGGGAGGAAGAAGTCGAAGAAGTCGCCATTGGAGACGACAAAGATGAAATCTTGAAGAACGAAAGTGGGTTAATTGGATTTCGGGGAAATGGGTTTTGACGGAGTTGATGAATGTAGGGTTTCTGGAATACTAATTCTTGTGGAAGGTTGAGGCTTTGGGAGGAAGACGACGATGCATGAGAATGTGTGGGTGTGTACTGCTCTGCTTTTATTTACTTATATAATAAGAGAAATTTCAACTTTTGCCCCCAGATTTTGTTAATTAGCAGAATCATCAACATTCAGTCGTGAGGCGATTTTGGTGATCAGGATTGGGTGAGGTTGGTTAAGATAGTAATACAGTTAGTTCGTTTTCTGTTATTCGCCATCTCAGCAGTGTCTTGGGAGGCAAGGCATGATGCCCACATATGAGGCATGCCCATCTCACTACCATAGACGTGAGAGGTGTCATATCCTCTTCTCATTTGATACAATCTCGAATGGTTAGTCCTGTTGTGAGTGCCTCGTATAAATATTTCGAAAGGACTATAAGGATACGATATATGAACAAAATACGTATTGAGACCTGTAAGTCCAATAACAACACCAACCTACTAACCTATTGAAATCAATCATTCTCCAAGATGTAATTAAAAATCAAGCAAGTCCTATAAAATCATAAAAAAAGTTGTTGGTAATACTAGAGAGACCAAGTTTTGTAAACCATATGATGTGGTGATTGAATTATTATTTAAGTGTAGATTAACATGCTTATTTTCTGTTGGTGACGCATCATATGAATATGATTTGCAAATTTGGTTTAAAAAATTGGTCTACGTAGCATTACTTTTTGTAAAATGTGAATTTTAATATTAAACTGAAAAATAAACATAATATAATTTTTAATTATATTTGAAATTTTGTCACTGTGATAAGGCACAACTCTATCATCAATGGTAGGAACATTACTAGTATTTCCATAAGGATTATTAAGAAATTGAGAAATAATTCACAAAGGAGAGAAAAAGTGCCCTCATGATATTGGCGAGGCCCACCTTCGTTCCACACGCAATTCAACCCTCGAGAAGACCTGAGCTGCTGACTACAACTTTTTCATGCTCATTTACTCATGGCAAGAAAAACTTCAAAAGAATTAAAGATAGGATTAATAACTAATCGCTTAGCACATAACGAGTACTTCATCTTTATTTGTCTTAATCCATAACTCAGTTTCATTACTTGGTTCAGATAAAGAAATGTGATTGCCATGACCAAATATAAAACAAGAAAGTGACAATAGAAAAAATGAGGAATGAGCCCAAATAGTTACAAACTTTAATCATAGATATAAATGCCACATAGTACTACGATTTTGTGTACTTATTTTTACTTATAATTAAGAGGGCTTAGGTTCGTATTCAGAAATAACAAATTCATAACAACTTTATTCTCTTATTCCTTAGTATAGATATATCATTGTATATATTATAAAAAAATACAATTTACGTGCAATTTAGCAATCTTTCTTCAATAATACTTATCATGACTTCATGAGTGGTATATGGAATAAACGGTTGAAACTAAAAGAAAATCTAACACTTAGAATAATCAAATCTTAACGGCTAAAACACACCCTGTTGCGCTTCGCGTTCTTTTTCTTTGATTATTTTCTATTGCCACTTAATACTAGGATAGTCATATTCCTCTCACTTTGGTTGGATCGTCCATCTCGTTTACACTCCACATGGGCCTTCACGTTTCCAGCAGTCGTTGAATGGTGAGAGAGAGAGAGAGAGAGACAACATTTCTCTCCATCTTGTTGTGATTTATGCAAATGGGGTTTTGTGACTTGTTCTAAAATTGTATTTTCTTGTTAATCTTGATTGAATATTTCACACTAATGGTTGGTTGGTTGGTTGGTTTGGTTGTAAGGATTTCTATTACCTCCTACTTCTATGTTAACCATTGTTTACTTGAATAGATATCATCTTTGAATTTCTTATTTTTGCTAACGTAATTGGAAGTTAGAATATAAGGGCACTAACAAACAAGCTCACAAGTTACAACTGAAGTTGGTATTCTCGTTTCTACTTAACTAACTTTACTATTCAAACGGATTAGCTCTGATATTTTAGAATTTGGCTTTTATTGTATTTAGTCTTAGGTCAAAAGTTTAGCTTTACAAGTTACTACTTATCCCTTGCGAAAGAAAATGGGGTTAGCGTTGCCTGGTTGAGGAGCTTTATGTGGAGCTTGCTTTGCAGTTTATACACTCTTCCGCCGTAGATCCTTCAAACCCACATCGTGTTGCGCGATGCTATCTAAGATTGGATCAATAAAGGCAAGCTTAAATGCCCTGAAAAGGTGCAGATATTGGTTGACACCGATCATTTCCCAACCACGACAGTTGATATGGGCAACGACTACGTGCTTAAGAAAATTGATCGGCCAAAGTCAATGATTGATCCTTCCCCAACAGTGACTCATAGAGCTAAGAAGAGTCCTCAGCCAAGGCTACAAAACCATCTCACCCATCACAGTGTTCCTCCACAACAACCTGTACCAACTTCCCATACCTAGGTCAAATTTGCCAGTCAGGCTTAAAGTGAGTTGGATGAACTGGTAGTATTGTGCAGTCGATATAAGTCAGAAGTTAACCTCACAAAGTGGAAAGCTTAATCGCTCAGCCAGTCGGTCTCATTCTTCCGGGTCATCATAGAATCTCAAAACATCTGAGCCGTCTGATCGAGGTTTAGCGTAGAGCCGGTCAGGAGTGTTTAGCAAATTATGGTCGTCACTTGAAGATCAGACGGCTTAACTTTGACAAGGAATTTTATGATGAAAATTTCGTTGAATTCAAGGTGGGTGATACATAGGGCTAGTTTGGGTTGGGATCCCGAACCGAAACCCAAGGCCCAAATTCCAAACTAATACTTTTTGGGATGGAATTTTACAACCCGAAACTGGACTGAATTTTTGGAATTCCTCAATTTTAGGATGATCGAAAGTTTTTCGGAATTTCGGGCTTGTTTGGGATTGGGCCCAATTTTATTTTATTTTTATTTTTTGCAGTTCAAGCCCAAATTGTTGGGCTTTTTAATTGTTTTGAATTTTGGAAAGAATAAAAGATGCCCACCAGTTTGTGATAGCTTAGATTACAACTGCACATTACAATTTTTAAGTTTCATGAAGTCCAAATTAATTAGCCTCATTAGTCATTTTATCTCCAAGCTTCTGTAACCCAAGACCCTATTTTTTAGCCCCAAGAATCATAACCAATTGTGACGGTGCTACTGGTGGCGCCACAAAAAACATCCCTCCCATAACTGCAACTCTTTGCATCTTGAATCTCCAAACTGCAAGAAAACAGAGCACTCTCTCTCCACTCTTAAACCCTCACTGGGTTTTTAGAATGTAAGCAAACATGCCCAAACCCAGAAACCCAGAAAACCCCCAGCCCATTAGTTTTAGGAAAACCCTAAATCATTAGTTTTCCAAAAAAACACATAATACCCAGAAATACAAAATTCATACCTTTAGCATGTGTTTGACTGTGTGTGGTTTTCTTGTGGCTCAGTGGTTGGCTAGAGTCGAGTCAAAGTGGACGGAGGAGGATTCTAGAGAGATGAGCGGATTTGAGGAGAGTGTTGCGGAGTGTTGAAGCCTGGAGAGATCGAGGGTGAATGAGAGATGAGGATGTCTGGGCTCCAACCTAATTTACAATGGACGGTTAAGATTATATCTCAACCAATCCAAGCATCCAACGGTCCAAGTAATAAGTAAATTATAAATTAAAAAGAAATAAACAAATATATATATATAAAACATTGATTTGGATTGGGATTCCTGAATCATTACAAAGAGGAGAGCAAATCCCATACCTAAAATTTCAGAATGGTTCGGGATTTTCGGGTATTTTTTTTTTCCCACCCCTAGTAACACGAGCACATCAACTCTACAAAGGACATTCAAGCCATCGAAGATATATAAAGGTATGAATACAATGTTCATGTCGGTGCATACATTGCAAGGTTTAAGTCACAAAAACACCGGTAACAACGTAATGGACTCAGGGATCACCTTCGCAATAAGGCGGCCAATGCTTAAAGAAATGCATCTCAAGTTTGGCAGTCGAAAGACAAGATGGAATTAGCTTCGGTGGACCAAGTCCCTACAATTCTCCCTGAGATAGCCGAAGGGAAGAAGACTTGGACTTTGACTAGAGAGACCGAGGTAGAGGAATCTGAGAAATAGATCATGTTATTGGTTTAGTCAGGCTAAATGAAAGCACAGATCGAACGTTTCACCAAGAACGCTTGAAAGGCTCTTCCTCCACTTTCCCTACAGGAGTCCCTGATCAAAGTTCAGCGTAACAAGCACCCTCCATTTATTGGTGAAGCTCTGGAATACATGAAACAGTTTTACAGGAAATTTTTGGCCAACGATCTTTATGGTTTACCTAAAGAATGTCAGGACTGTGTCAATTTGGCTCTGACCAGTCATGCGGCCGAGGATGCAATGATCCAAAGTAATTAATTCAGATCTAGTAATCCTAGCCATAATCCAACACATTCAAGAAGCCAAAGTACAAGGTTCAAGGTCGAACCATACGTTGACATAGACGATAAAGAGTTTCCCTTCTCCTTGGAAGACTTGCGATATCTCCGCTGACACTTGCAGGTATTCTTGGCCGTCAATCTATTCGACCTAATTCTTGGAGTAAATTGAAAGAATCACTTGTTCACACAAGGTCCAGAACATTTTAAAATTTCAAAACCAATTAACCACAGTTTGAGCTTCTAGTTTATTGAAAATCTCCTTCACAATAACAAGAAAAATAAAATACAAGATTGATTTTTATGACTAAGCTTCTTACGATTGCGTTGACGAATTTGGCACTCATTTTCTGGTCATTTTTGTTCTAGATTGAATTTTTATTTTCTAATACTTTTTTTACATTGCATGAGTGAAAATCACTAGTCTTGTCATGAAGTTTTCACCAAATTCACCTAGTTTAGGATCCGAATCGTTGAAATTTGATCCAACGACTACAAACAAAAGGTCCTTTTAAAAGTTGTAATAACTATAGCCGTTGGATC